TATTATATGTGATTACAATTAGCAAAATAGCACATATTAATAAAAAATAAATATAAAATATTAGGTAAGTGCAAAACTTCGTGCGTGATTTATTATTCAAAATTTAAACAAATGTAATTTTGTTAAAAATAAATTAAATATAAATTAAAAAAACGGTTCTACAATTTTTTATTACTGAGTTATTACAAATTAAATAAAAAAACATTTTAACTTTGATTGCTCATAACTTCGTCATCATCGAAATTCAAAAAACAGATTCTTAAATTTGAAACTTTACTCTATCGAATAGTATAATTGTCAATTTAATTAAACTATTATGTTGTACATACAATTTTTCATAAAAATGTTTTTTTTGATTGGGCACGAGCTTTTGTACTCACTCAATAAAAAAAGGTAGTAATATAAGAACATTGAAAGTTTCCGACATGCAAACAGTTTCTTCGATTCTAATCTTTGCTTGAGTCTGCACTTAAATTGAGTAAAAACATTATTATTATGCCAAATATTTTTGACTTTTTATTTTTATTCCACAGGCTAATAGCTTTAAAAAAAACTATCCGATTATTGTTGTTTTGTCTTTGAACATATCGAGTAATAGTCCCATCTTCCCTTTTCTCTTTCACTGATGATGTTACCCGGAATATACGATCTCGAAATGCACGTGGATTGTTCGGCTTTTAGTTTGTTCTGCAAAGCAGGTCCTTCACAGTCCTCTCGATAAGTCAGAGCATATGTAGCGGCGAATTCTTCGGGCTTCGTCAGGATACAATTTTTAGGGGTAATAAAATCATTGTTGGATCGCATGTCGTAATTACCGCAGAGACCGCGTACAGTATAGAGATATTTATCGTGTACCTAACAACAGATGTGTTTCATTACATTTAAATTTCACGCATCTCTTGATTATATTTTATGCAGTCACATAAGTAGTTTAACTTATGTAGTCTATTTTATATACAACTTGTTTTATTTTTTCACTTACATAAAATAGGATACGTTCTCCATCATATACCATGTGAATATTATATTGCAGCGAATGCATTATGATTATTCCATCCTCTTGATTAATTGCGTATAAGTCAGTTTGTCCGTAGCTCTTATGACTCGAGAAATAAGAATCATATTCCTCACCACCAACGATAGAAACTTGGAGACGATCGTCCAATTTTCGCAGATGAATTTCTTCATGACCCAAGATTATCCATATCTGTTTACTGCCGTCGACCATTTCTCGGGCCATGACAATTGCCCTCACATCATACCGAAAACTTAAAATTTTTTCGGGATTATTGGAATCCCGCTTTGGATAAGGCGCCATCATAACGTGCCAACATTTTCCTAATGTCAAGGGATAGACCTTATTGTCAAAAGTTACAACATGGGTTTTGTCGAGAACGCACATATCTGCAAAAAGTTTTCATATCTAATAAAGCGACGTGACTCCAAGTACATACGAAAAGATATAAAAAAAGAGGGTTTCCCTAGACATAAAGAAAAAAAAACAAAGAAAATACGATTTTCATGTAATAATGAAATGTATTATACGAAAAAAGAGCTGTTTTTAAATTAATATATCGAAAATGAAAAATAATATTGGAACAAATAAAAATGCATTTTAAAGCTGAATGTTGATAATTTTACGGGTTATACATAAAATTTAAGAATAAAATTTGCTGCCGGTGTAATGTTATGGAATCCCTCAAAATCTTAATCTTTGATGTAATTTAAAAAAAAAATACGAACTACTAATCAAATGTAGGTAATGGTTCGTGATTAGCAAGCAAAAATATCGGAAATGCCTATTTACATTCACGATACAGAAAAACGTTAAATTTTGCTCCCCAAGTAGCACAGCAATGCTTGCAAATAAATGCTAAAAAAGCTATTATATGCTTTTTTAACGCTTTGTTAACGCTTATAAACGCTGTGTGCTACCTGGATCAGTGTAACATATCCATTTTTCATAAACAATTTTTGAATATTTTTTTATATGTTTTCGAGATCTTTTTTTATAATTACTATTTTGCTAATTGTATTGATCTTATACGTACTTCTGAATGCATTTATAACTTACCTCCTCTCAAGTCTTCCTTAAACAGTTTGTTTAGTGTACAATTGGGAATAACATTAGGATCTTTAATAAAGTGCGACAAAGAAAACGAAACATCCACTTGCGAAGTGCTCAAAGAAATGTTAACATCATTATTATCAAGCAGCATTTTAATTTTTAAATTCATGGTCTTATTAACGCTTTCCAAGTTTGATATTTTCATATTATTACCGGAAATCATCATTTTGATCATCAAGATCATTCTGTTGGCAAGCAAATAGAAATTATCAGAATTCGTTTCCATTGACATAATCAGAAGATCCCTCTGTTGAATTAATTCGTGGGCCTTTTGACAAATTGGTAGCCAAATATTGCCTTGTTTCATCTGTTGTCGACACTCTTCAACTACCTCGGATTTCATTGCTTTCTTTATAACATCATCGGAACGACTCAAATTTCCTTTGAGTTTAATCGTCTCTCCACTTGCACAACTTCCAAATCGCATTTCAGCGTTAAAATCGTAATTCGGATTTGTTTCGATTGCTTTCTCAACATTTAGATGATTGTATTGTGATAATCCAACAATGCTATTAACACTGCAAAACTCCCAGAAGACTTCTCCATCTAGCGATTGGACATTTCCATAAGAAAGAGTCTGCAATTTATCGAGGCTGTCTCCCAAAACAAAGGTGAAAACGTAATAATTATTATCAGCTAAAACACTTATGTCATACATTGTAGATGTCGTGACAGAATAAACATAATTGTCAGATCTATTATCTTTGGTAATTGTGAATTCATCTAAAAATTGTTCTTCTCTTTCCCTGCTGTTAGGTCGTTTGTCAACTATTGTAGGAATTGTTACTTCCGAACTTCTATTAGTCCTCCTGACATAATAAGTTAAATTTACTTGTGCTTCTACGGGATATAAGATGGCGTCGAATCTCCTGTAATGAGCACCAAGATTTAAATAAAATATAGTAGAAAGCTTAATAAGACCTTCAAGTCCCTTCTTCTGCGACATATCGCTGTCAATAACATCACTTCTTGCGGAGAGTGTCAGATTACCTAGCGAAAACTGTACTTTATTCGGTTCCTTCGTGTGTACTAGACGTCTGTCATTGCTGAACTCTACAAGTTCGAGAATGTCCTGTTTTGAGGTATAAGGAACTACACTATGGTGAATCGCTAATCGTTTGATTGAAAACCTGCTAACACGATGGTTATAATGAGGGTGTATCTTCAGCTCAAATGTACCGTTACCTCTCACTTTGACATTTAATCCGGCTGGTATAGCAACGTGCGTATTGACATCGACACCAGCAATATAGTGTCTGTGCTCGAAAGGTGTTACGAAACCAATTCTACTTTGGATCTTTTCACTTGATACTATATAACCTGTTACTGCCAGTTCTACAAAGCTATCATTTTGTAAGTGTGTGACTTTAACAGATGCTCCCTTGTTAATGGACATTATGTTCGGTAATGCTAAAGTATAGATGAACGGCAGACCGGTTTCAGTCGGGAATCCCAACGTTACGTCGTAATGGTTTAGATCATTTATGTTTTTGTATTCAAAAACGTATGATCCTGTTTGCGATATCGATTTTTGATACGTTTTCAACACTGTAATATAAAAATAATAATGATGATTCACAGTATTAAAATCAACAGTTTTTTTAAATAAATTTCAGAATACTTACTATTAGTAAATTCTTCAAGCGTACGATTGTCAAAGGGATAGAATCCTAAAGAAAATGCAGAATCCATAAAGAAATTTCCTTCCAACTGTTCTGCATTTTCGGGCTCAATGCCAAGCTTTTCAACTATCGTTTCAATCATCCATTCCTTCTTGGTTTGATTTTGAGGCATCCAGGACTGTTCACCTAGCCATATACCTAACCACTTCTGTTTCAACTCTTCGATGCTTGATACTGTATATGCCATTTTTGTCAGGGGTAGATTTAATCCACCGTAAGATTGAAGTATATCAATATATGCACCTTTAGGTGTATTAGTGTCGTCGCTACCAATTATCTGATAAATATTTGTTTGAGCAATGTTTAAGGAGGCGATTTTCGTTTGCATAAAAATGCTCTGAGAGTAATTATCCTCGCTAATGTTAGGATTTAATAGCTTGCTAGCGATACGCGCCTTTTCAGCGAGATCTTGCCATTCTGATTGTTCTAAATTAATGAGGGATTCTATACTGGTTTTGACGACAGAATTTACGTGTCGATCCTGATCCTGATTGGTAAATTCCGCCATTCGCTGCAATATTATTAGGGATGGATTGGTTTTCATTATGATGTGAACAGCTACACAACGTAATTCGTAGGCCTCCTTTAAATTCAAGTAAATCTTCAAGGCGACGGATCTGACAACTCTCGGATAGCTTTCGGTTAATCTGTTTAATGAGATGACCATCATCAAACGTTGGAATTTCGATATCGGAATTCTGCCTTCCAGATATGGCTCAAAAACGGAAAGTATTTTCGGATGACCGAAATTACCCAATGCCATAATATACGTTTGAATTTGATGACTGTCGCCTTTCTCAATGGCTTTTCTTAATTGGGTAGCCATATATGGAATATAAGTTTCAAAAAGTTCATTGTAACGTTTAGGGATTATACGGCCGAAACTGTAGACCGGATAGTAAATAGATAATTTGTTGCTTTGAATGTAACGTACCAATTCGGCGAATGACAAAGGTGCAGTTGTATTCAAAAATCTCTGTTTTGTCACCATTTCATCGGTAATCAGTTCCTATATAGAAATTAATCATTAAAATTAATCTTCACATATAACAGTTAGCACAAATATTTGTGTAAACAATGAGGAATTTTAAAGATTGAAATTCTTTTAATTTCTTGTTTTGATGTGGAGTAATTCCGGTACATATGCCGCGTCTGTCGAATTTTTAATTTATCAAGTATTACGCAATTCGACAAAAATTGAATTTTTTTCCTCTCATAAAAAAATCGAAGGGATTCTGAAAGTAGATATAAAAAAAATATCCGTGTCTCTAAAACAATCCGTTACTAGATCATATCGTTAACGTTTTTTAAGTATCATTAAATGTCTTTTTATAATACTGTACAGCACACGACGCTTCAAAGAAAAAGGTATCAGACACATGTTTGGTGGAAACTGTTGGTCTATTCCAGTGTTACCAAACCGGAATCATACAAACGGCAATTCAAACGATCAAGATTCTTATGCGTTTCACGGGTTTTCTCCGTGTCCAGATTCATTCTTGGAATGCTAACGTTTCGTGAATTTTGCAGTCCATTTCATCAGGACGAAAAGCAGCCTGATTCTGAGCTGTTCCTTCGGGTTCTTTTTATATTACGCTACCTGTTGGAGTGATGAGAGGAAAGAAGAGAATTGTTGATGAAAGAGGGAAGTGATGGGAGAGAGTAAAGGGAGGAGGAGGGGGGGGGGGAATTGGTTGGTTTTCAATAATTGGAAAAATGGTTTTCCATATTTTATTTATGTTGTAGCCATTATCTCTATTTAGATAGTTAAAGTGTTTTTGTATCTGTATGGCTTTCTCGTAAAGTATAAAGTAATGTTGGCTATTATGGTCGTTTTATCAAATAGTATTTGATGTCCTGTTTCAATGTTGTGTTCTGATAATGCTGACGTCTTTTAGCTTGACATCACTTGATGTTATTACTAAGACAGATATTTTTTATTACATCTGCTTTCAGAATCTCTTTAATTTTTTTTCGGGAGGGAATGTGTGTTGTACTGTATTATTTGCTAAAGTAAATAAATGGTACTTTTCTAAGACTTTATACCGTCTAAAAAAATTAGAAATATGAAATGTTTATTTTTTATATTTAAAAAATAAATATTTCAAACGGCTGGAGTACCGAAGGCATTGCACAAACTGAACAAACAATACAAAAACTAAGCATTTGTGTTTTGCTATACTCCATCCTATTATCTTCTATTTCTACATTGGGCCTGTCCAAGACTTAAGGCCATCACACACAAAAAATATTTTATTCATTATGGTTTCAATAGTATATTAATAAAAACTCGCAATGTGCAAATATAACATGAAGGCAACAGAAACGGTTGCGTGCGAATTTTTCTTCTTCTCGCTTCTTTTCTAACTTTCACGATGTAAACGTTCGTTTGCAGCGTAAATACCAGAATTACTCTGTACTATATTATATTAATATGTATAAGCATAATACTTACGAAAAACGTTGCGACATATTCCGTTGTAGGTGCGAGCGCGGATTTAGGAATTTTCG